TACGAAATGAAAATCCTACTCTCGTGACGCAAATTCTACTCTACATTGTACTTTTAATGTTGTTATTTAAAAGTTATGGATCACCTTACAATGTAAAGTAGAATTTGCGTCACGAGAGTAGGATTTTCATTTCGTATTTTCGTCGGTCGTTCGGAATCCTACTCAATCTTGTTTTTTTAAATTTTTTATGTTCTTGTTTGTGTTAATTTTTTTTATAATACTTGTATTTTTTCAGTTACAATTGTAATACTTTTTGATTTTACACAAACAATAAGTTTCTTTATTATTGTTGTCATTGTTATGATTTTACAGCATTTATGAGGGACAGCACTGATTGAATTGAATAGATATGGTGGAGCAATATCTACTAATCTGATGACAAGTGAAATAAATACTATAGTCTTGATGTGAATCATTGTTCAAGAAGCTCTATCTTCCCAGTAATCCTGTAGCTATTCCTGCAGGTTCTTCCTGTTGTCAAGTTCATATTAATATATTATCACTAGTATTATAAATATTAATTGTTTTGTGTTTTTGAAATAAAATAATTCATTACACACTTGATATATGCAAGATTAATACCTTCTCTTAGCTGGAAACCTCCACTAAGTATTGCAATTTGATTCCAAGCATAGCTAGCTACGTAAAAGATTACTTGCTGTTCCCAGTTTTGAGATCTATCCATCTGAGCATGCGCGACCACGCCCAAATTTTTGGAGCACATGCTTCTTTATTTAATTAACAAAATGGCGGCATGAGGTAAGTTGGTGCGATCTAACAGTCACGGTATCACTTTTTCCTTTCTTGGAGAATGATTCTAGGGAACAAGGACCTGCGCATACCCTGTTGGAGTAGAATGGTGTAAGAATTAACCTTCTATCACCAGGCAAGATCGATATATCGACCGACAACTGGATTGACAGGACTTTCCTGATGATGATGAAGATGAAAAAAGGTGGCTGAACAAAACGGCCGGTTCGCCGATTTTTGGCTTTCCTTTTAGACTAGGTTTAGAGCCACGCTATTGGTACCAATGGAGTCCTCTGGTCAAGATGAGGTCCTCTAAGAAGTCTGGTAAGCATAGGAGCTCGTTTTCCCGGTATAGCAAGGCTGCAAAAGTAGTGGCAGCCATTTTGTTTGGGGGTGAATCCTACTTAGTAACGCTACCGCGTTACTAATGGTACAGGGGCTTTGGTCTGATTTTGGAGTAAACTTAAAAACTCGTAGAAAATCCAATTTTAATCGGAATCAGCTTAGACTTTCTACACAACATAAGTACATGTATATGCATCAGAAAAAATTATAAAAATGGTGATTTCTCTCCTAGTCATTTTTGTCGAAATTTGGCTTGTGACTTACTATAACAGGGACTTAAGCCTCATTTTTAAGCAACTTAAAAAAATCCATAAAAAATCTAACTTTGATCGGAATCAGCTCAAACTTTCTACGCAACATAAAAAACATGCATAATCATACTAGCAACAATATAATTGAAATGGAAGCTTGGGATTGCATCCACACCTGCTCTCATCACTATAGCATTCCCTGGTAATTGCATACTAATATTCAGAACATGCAAGTGCATAGCATACACAATTGTCATCCCATACCTATCATAATCTTGACATATGTACCCTACAGCTCTCAAAGCATTCATGTACTCATTTGGATACTCAGTGCTGTAGTAATGGAGTGATGAAGGCTTATCAGGGTCACCATTAGATGCAGTGAAGTCAATACCAACAGTAAAATTAATAGTAGTACCACCCATTATGTACTCAAGAAATGAGTATATTCTAGTGATCTGAAAGCAAGAGAAAGAGAGGGAAAGGAGAAAGAGAGAAAAGGAAGGAGAAAGAGAGAGAGGGAAGAGAGAGAGAGAGAGAGAGAGAGAGGGAGGAGAGAGATGATTTCTGTGTCGCTGGAGCTGGCTCACTTTGATGGAGTCTAAACGAATTGTTCCTGAATTATCGTAATTCTTCTTTTTTGTTTTCTTAGCGTTAATAAGCTTCCAATCAATCTAAAAAATATTGCAATACCACAACTCACAACAATGCAAAGACTCAAGCACTTTAATAAAACCACAATACATACATACATACACACATACAGTATATATTACTTTTTCTTTCTTATCACTGGCGGCTTGCAACTCTTTCAATGACGTTTTAAACTCTCCTATGAGATCGTGGCCACCATCAGCATCCCAATCAAAACACTTTACCTAATCATCAATCATTATTATAATGTACTGGTTATCAGGACTACATCATTATTCTAAGAAGTAGTATATGCAACTCTTATCTCTTCCATCTCCCTCCCTCTCTCTCATACCATAATAGGTCTATCAGGATTATTATTACACAACAAGTTTGAGCTCAGTGTCATTGTAGGCCACACTGGGTTTAGTGTGTTCTTTATGTACTATAAGAGAGAGAGAGAGAGACAGTAGTAAGATTATATTTCTATACATACATATCTTACATCATTCCTGTGTACAACTGTATAAGAACCATCTTCATTCATTCTTGACAGCTCCAGGTAAGGATCAGATTTACCAAACAAATCCTAAAAGTGATGCATGTGTACTATATACTCTCTTTTAAACTAATACCTTCTTGTCCAAGCCATGGCCACTAAAGTTTAACTCAATACTGCTACCTCCTTGCGACACTTCCTCCACTTGAATCTATACATTGTAACACAATCATAACTCGCATTCATGACAACAAGGAGCTACATTGATGAACTGAATTCAACACCTCAACCAATAACAGCTGTGTGGAACAAAACTACATGACCTTACACACTTTCAGATTCAATCTGAGTAATGATGCTTATATCAGAATTATTATACAGAATCATTTCCCACTATAAACTCACTGCTAGCCAAGTAATGATCGATAAAGAAGTATTCATACTCACATATTTATGTGTGTGTGTGTGTGTATTAAAGTAGTACAGTTGCCAAATCAAAATGAAATAACAATAAACAGTATTTTATGCCTAGTGTATTGTGCCACTTATATAGACACAGTAATGTGCATGAGGAATAGCAACTTTTGCATAACTCCTAACCATTGTCAATAATTTTAGGCTGTGGTTTCAATGTTTGCAATCATGACCATAAGAAGAATGTAAAGTTACACGATTTTTTAAAACAATGCCCGAGACATTCTCAATACATTGAAAGTAGATATTCTTACCTTGATTGTTCCACTCTTCTTTCCTTTAGAAAGCAATGGTCTTGTGTATACTCTCTCACTGACCACCTCAAGAGAGAGAGAGAGAGAGACAAGAATAGGATATTTTAAAAAAGAAACAAATACTTACCTCTCCAAGGGAGCACTCAATGCTACCAAGCAGTTCGTCATCGCTAAGACTCTCTGTCGGGTTATCAATATCATACACTGTAAACTTCAGATCTTGCTTCTCTTCAAAGCGATAGCAGATTTCAATACTTTTGGTAAAACTGGGATTAAGGGAGTTCTTGACGCATTCTGTCCTACCCAACTATTGAAAAAGTTGACTTAATAAACATGTATGCATTAAATATGTATCAAGAGTGTATTAGGGGCTAGCTACTCTTGATTATCTATTTTAGTGTGTACTTCAGTCCAGCTTCCACTCTGAGTCTTAGAGTACACGGCAACGAGAGGGTCTGACTTTGAGAGTACATCAGTATCCTTTAGGTTCTGGCAAGAGAGGTGAAGCTCAACAAAGTATCCCAATTTTGGAGGAACGCCGACAGAAGCAGCCATGATTGCTTGATTAGCTTTGCTGTCAATTATTGCTGTCTGCTGATTCATTAAAGTCTGCGACGCCCACGCAGCTCAGAGTGCAGCCTAATTTTAATTTTACCATAGATATTATAGACTACTGACCATGATTTGAATGATAATGCTAAAAATAATAATTATTACTAATTCAATAATATCACACAGAGTTCAGGGAGTCTGCACACTTCAAAAGAGTCTTATTTCATCAAGAATGAGGAAATTTCCTATAAAAATTAGTTCAAAGGAGGAAAGAAATCTTAATTCACCACTTTATGATGGAGGAAATATTAGAAGCAGACGGCAATTGTGATTTAAAAATTTACCCTGTGAGAAGAAGCAGTAGAGTTTTAGACTGAATTCATAATAAAACACCATATGCACTTTGTTGTTGCATGTATTTTACACTAAAATTCTACTAATGTGTATGTTATACCGTCTATCTGGAAATTTTTACTGTGATTTAAATTTTACTGGATTAGAATTTCGCAAAAAAAAAAAAAAAAAATTAGATTACCCATATAATTACATGCCACATTCAATAATACATGACACAGTCTTATTTAGTAAAAATTAAGTCACAGCACAATTTTAAACCGCAAAAATTTCCTACCACACTAATTTCCTGATCTACGGTATGTGTGAGAAATATCATGATATTGGGACTATTATAGAGCATAGATTGATAAGTGGGTGCATTCTTAGCCACAATTGTTGTCTTATTTCCTTCATAAGCAGAATAACACTCACACGGTATGTAAATTGACACTGCTCAATTGCCGTCTTATTTCCTTCATAAGCAGGATAACATTCACACAGTATGTAAATTGACACTACTGTACAGACTATGTGTGAGAAACTTATAATGTGCATGGGGATGGACCTACAGCATTCACGTGAATTACTAAAGCAATAAACAAGCAATTTGATGGTGTTTGCATGATTGTCTGTGGTGACTTATCATAAAAACTGTATGCATGTATAAGATATGCAAAGGAGAAATAGTCTGCATGATAATTCTGTGTGTATGGCCATTCACAGTATCTATGGTGCATGCTGACACCCAAATCAATGCTTGCAATCTCTGCTTTCTGTCAGCATCATGATATCAGCACCTGAGCATCATACCTGTCTACATAATGGGCAGTAGCAGTTCTCTTACAAAGGTCTTAGACAGGCTACCATGAATTCAATATTTTTCTATCATTAAAATTTGTCTGAAGAAGCCTCTTCTACATTTACCATCAGGTAATCAATAACTGTGTGCATGATCATTATGATGACATGCATTATCAGTTGTGTGCATATTGTGTCAATGATATCAGTTTTAAACAGCCTGTAACTGCTGTATCATCAACTATTAAAATATGTAATTCAATTCAAAAATAAACTTCAAAAAATTAAAAACTTTCACAAAAACTAATAATAATGAGTATTATCATTAAACTGTTACAGTACTGAAATAAAGTATTAGGAGCTCAAAAGTTACATTATTATCTCGGGTTCTTCCCTTTGAACTGGAGGATCAGGTGGAGCTGGCAAGGAAAACACAACTTCACTGTCAGTGACATCATCAATTCGTGAGGACGTGGATCTTAATGATTCAATAGGAGGATCTGGAAGATACATTGGAGGATCAGGCTGATAATTCAGGAACCTGTCCATAAGACAGTACAACTTGCACTCGAACCCTTTATTTTCACGTATTATCTGGATGTTGCATAGACTGCTGCAAAGTGCTTCAATGGCTGTTATGTTGACATTTATAAGGACAACCCAAGTCAAGTTCCCTAACTTCATGAAGGGAAATTTAAAAGTGTCATCTTTGAATTCAGCGAGACTTTTGACTTGATCGGAGAGATTATCCATGCACAAGTCAAAGCACTTGAAAGCTGCTATGGTTGTCACTTGGATTTGAACTTCTTTGATTGCCTCAAGTTTTTTAGCAAAAGAGTAATAATAATCTTTGCCATCACTGTCAGACTCACATCTCTTTCTAATATCACCTGTTATGCTTCTCACCTTTTCTTCTGGCTGATGGCAGTGATTCTCAAAAATTTTCAAAATTTTTTTGATTTCCTTTAAAACAGATTCAAAGTTTGTCCTAAGACTGCAAGCATCCTTTTTTATTGTATCTTCATCTGCCTCTTTTCGAAGATTCTTAACAAACTTCTCTGCTTTCTTGAGCAGTTGCTCTAAAGTTTTGATGAGTTTCTTGAATTCATCATTGAGCTCTTCTGTCTTATCACCAAATGCAACTAGTGCACCATAATAAGACAAATTGAAGAACACAGAGACATATCGCAAATCATTCATAACATCATAGCTGATTCGAAAAAGAAACTCCTTCTGGGTTGTTTCGAGTTTCACTTCTTCAACTTCGATGCGACCAACGATATCACCACCAACACGAACTGCCATTATGACCACAGAGCTAGTATATTCTAAAATGAATTCAAAAGAATATTTGATGCTAAAGAGCTCTCTCAACCAGTCCTTTTATACTCACTAGTTTCCTCTTCCTTCATTCAATATTTGCAAACTATCAGTTGTTATGCATGCCTTAAATAGATATAATTTAAATTATACTAAAATGAAGTTCATACAATTTACTCAGACATTCAAAATGATCATAAAAATTGATCAGACATTACCAGATAGGTAAATACAGTATTCCTGATCCAACATTAACTACAAAGTTCCTTTTCCTAATATCTTCTAAAGAGAAATGTGATCATAATTCTGCTTTGGGAGTCTCAGGTTATCAACACTGTGCACTTTAAGAGTAGGAAATACCAATACTGTATACCATATTGAGTACACTGTATCTATGATTATACATTATTGCAAAAAAACAGTAACAGAAGTAATAATAATAATTATAATATCAATAACAATTAGTAATAATAAACTAATATCGTTCGTAAATTCTGTGATTTTTATCAATCTCTACGTGTACTGGTATAAGTTTCTTGTCATGATAAACTAAAAAGGAGCCTCTAAGTCAACCTCTTTGTCTTTCTTCTTGGAGACCTACAGTTGAGGAGTGAAAACACATTGAGAGTATACATGTAACATGCACTTACAGGAGGCTTCCTATAGACAGAATTATAAGCATCTCTTAAGAGACAGTATGGGAAGCAAGACTCTAACAGATCACGAGTAAGGAATGGAGATTCTTTTACAAACTGGAAAGAAATAGAGAGAGTGTGTGAAAGTAAAGGAGAGAGAGAATAGGAGAAAGGGAGAGAATCAATTTTATGTTTAAAAAAATACATTTTACCAAGTCCAATAGAACATAAATGGCCTCCCTAGACTTTGGTGCATCTTTCTCCCTGTCAGCTTCTTTGGCTAGTGTCATAATACGTGATGAAGTAAACTAAAGGAGAAAGACAAGAATATGAATAATAAGGAGGAAAGAGGCCATGCAAGTGATTACAATGATGAAATCCTTCATTCTGTCCTTCTGTTCTTGGACACCATACAGACCAAACACAGCACCAGCAATAGCATTGACAGCAATAGCAAGACAGTGAACATTATTACTGTGACCTAAAGGATTGAGAATACATGTACATGTACATTTTGACAATTTGCCCACAATCTCATTTAAAAGAAGAACTGGATGCTAAATTTATTTAAGGCTAATCTACATGTATTTTAGGCTAATTAAGGCAAATCGAGTGACTGTATTGATGGATTCCTTTCCTAACCTTCATAGCTGGGAAGGAACTGTGACTCTTCTTTCATTGCTAGTTCTGGCAGATAGACACCAATAAACACAAGGAAAAGGAACCATATCTGCCTATCATCCGGACTTTTATCTACAGAGAGAGAGATAGAAAGAGAATGAATAGCAACCAGAAATAATAAAATTATCAATGAATGTGCAGTATTATCTATCTCCTCTTACCACAGTGTGACTTGATTACATTTGATAAAAGAGGATCAACATCACATTCAATGCCAGCGGCTATGGCCATTGGATCAGCAGTCTAAATATTTTTAAAAAGTAATCTAAAATCATTGTACACAAAAGTCCATACCCTGGTATCCTTGTCCCCGAGGTTTGACTTGAAGTCCAGTATGGACATGAACATGAAAGGTATCCTTCTCTCCAGGACAGCTCGCAAAGCTTGGAGGCAGAGTTTCCTGAAGCCCATTAATGTCCCAATTATAGTAACACGCTGCATGAGGTCCTCGCCGTCTAAAAGAGAGTAGGGAAATGGTAATTTGAACTCCTTCAATTTTTTTCTTGTAAAATCATCACTGAAAAGAGCAATTTACAAGCGTGCAGGCATTACATAAACACATGTACATTATTGATAATGATTCAGTAGGCACCATACAATGCAATGTATAGGTACTCACTTCTCAGTTTCCTGAATAAGTCGTTGAATATATCAGGTTTATCTCTGTTGGTGTGGAGTGCTAGTAATGTGTCCTGATTCTGCTCAACCAGTTTCCTTATCTCCTTCACTTGAGCACTGACTTGCTCCATTAGTCTATCCCCCATATACTGTATACCATAGGGACCAACTATCTCTGCTAGTGACTGAAGCTCTGCAATAGTCAAAAGAGATGAAGCAACTATAATTGGCTTGTCTTTTTTTAAATACTCATAACTTGAAAAATATTTGTTGGAAATAGCTGAAAATTTCTACATAGCATGAGGACATCAATATGTATCAGAAAATGTAATAAAAATTGGGAGTCAATTCGGAGCCATTTTTTGGAAAAAAACCATGGGCTATAGTACAGGGTATTTTTTAGAAATTGGCTTATTTTTTAAAGTGATCATAACTCAAAAAATTGAAGTTGGAATCAGCTCAAACTTTTTACACAGCATAGGACATCAATATGTATCAGAAAATGTAATAAAAATTGGGGGTGATTTTGGAGCCATTTTTTGGAAAAAAAACCATGGGCTATAGCCTTGGGTTTTCCTCAAAAAATGGCTCATCTTTCAAAATGCTCATAACTCGAAAAATATTTGACAAAAAATAGCTCAAAATTTCTACATAGCATGAGGACATCAATATGTATCAGAAAATGTAATAAAAATTTGGGGTGATTTTGGAGCCATTTTTTGGAAAAAAACCATGGGCTATAGCCTTGGGTTCTTCTCAAAAAATGGCTTATTTTTTAAAGTGATCATAACTCGAAAAATTGAAGTTGGAATCAGCTCAAACTTTCTACACAGCATAAGGACATCAATATGTATCAGAAAATGTAATAAAAATTGGGGGTGATTTTGGAGCCATTTTTTGGAAAAAAACCATGGGCTATAGCCTTGGGTTCTTCTCAAAAAATGGCTTATTTTTTAAAGTGATCATAACTCGAAAAATTGAAGTTGGAATCAGCTCAAACTTTCTACATAGCATGAGGACATTAATATATATCAGAAAATGCAATAAAAATTGGGGGTGATTTTGGAGCCATTTTTTGGAAAAAACCATGGGCTATAGCCTTGGGTTTTTCTCAAAAAATGGCTTATTTTTCAAAATGCTCATAACTCAAAAAATATTTGTCAAAAACAGCTCAAAATTTCTACAAAGCATGAGGACATCAATATGTATCAGAAAATGTAATAAAAATTTGGGGGTGATTTTGGAGCCATTTTTTGGAAAAAAACCATGGGCTATAATAGCCTTGGGTTTTCCTCAAAAATTAATTGGTTTGCTTTGCACATTAATTTTGCTAAATAAAATGGGTACACCCAAAACATACAGTACATTCAGCCTTTAAATGACAGTATTATGACACATTGTATAAACACACACTCACCTTGAACATCAGAATATTCTTCAGCTTTGAATGACATCACTCTACGACTGACAAAAGCCATCCTGTTCTTACTGTAGCATATACCACCTTGAGAGACCCTCTTCAATAGGACACTATTATACCTACACATGTATAATATACAAGAAATTGTATCTCAATTTTAATACAAGATCCCCCCTCTCTCTCACTCTCTCTCTCTCTGTCTCCCTCCCCTATCTCTCTCTTTCTGTCTCTGTCTCCCTCCCCCCCCTCTCTCTCTCTCCCTCTCTCTCTTCTCCTCACCATGCAGAGTAGGTGCTGGCTATTGTAGCCTCTCCTTTACTGTCCAGTGGTTGTGTCTCTTGAAGTAGGACTGATGTCAGGACTCTGGTCATGTCAACATTAACTGGACAAATGATCAAAACACAATCAGTACATCAACAATAAACAACAAGAATAAACAAACAATATACATGCGTGTATATGCATTATAAACAAAAGACAACAATATAAAAGAGTATGTGTGCATGTACGTGTACGTGTACATGTACGTGTAAATATACATGTGCATGTACAGGTAAATGTAGGTGTGATGTACCATAGAGCTCAAGGTTTCTTAGAGTTGAGACGTACGACTGGATCCTAATGAGTACCTCTGAGGGACGAGCTATATCTTGAGTATCAGGATTGTACTTCATCATTGAAAACACATTCCTACATTGTCAATAATAATAATAATTAATAAAAATAAAATAAAATAAAAAAGATGTACATGTATGGTATACATGTAAAGTGTACTTGATAAAAAGTTCTTCTAAATGGGGCAGAAGATATTCTCTTGGTGTGAAGGTGTGGTCCCAAGCAGATATACTTGGGAAAACTGTTACAGTAAAGCAGAGATCAATAAGGGTCCGTACTGCATGATCAGAACTAGAATAATGAATAATAATATTATAATAATAAACAAAATTATTTATTGGTGAGAGTATTATTTGGCGAATTTGCCTGTAGGAAGTTAATGGTGAGTTTTATATTGGCAATTTTGTGCAATGTGCCATTGAGCATGCTCAGTTTGAATCAAAATGGCGAATTCTATATTGGCGATTTCTTCATAGAACAGTCAATCCCCAATATTAATTCCTTGCCAATAAAATCCACTTTAACTCACTTCGTCATATCTTCCCTCGATCTCCTATAGCTCTCCTCTCCTGGTTTCACTTCCTGTGGTGGGACCTTTGGCCCTCCTTTTGACTTACTCTTTGGCTTGTGGTGAGCAATATAATGACCAGCACCATACGTCACATGTAACTATAATGTATCAAGAATCGAGATTGAACATACATGTACATATATACATGAACATGTTTACATGTACATGTACGCATGTATTCTTACCACTTCGTCTCTCTTCATGTGTTCAGCACACAGCTGGCCCATGACTCCCCTCACTTCCTTAGCAATCTGTTCAAGGAAGCCATTGATTGAATTGACCGCCTTCTCGCCAATTGCTGTGCGCTAGTAACAAAGATACAAAATGAGATTTTAAATACGTGCAATAAGTAAGGCAGATTCTAAACTATTAAATTTATATGTAAGTAATTAGATTTATAATTACTTCTTCTGGGCAGAACCGAGTGCTGGCGTTAAGGAACTCGGAGCTGACGAGTGGGAATGCAATGAGGTATCTCAACTGTGAAGGATTCTTTAGGCAACGAGCAAAGTCTGTCTCCAGCTGACGGAAGAAGAAACTAAAAAATAAAATAATAATTAAGAGATAAATTATTGCAAATACTAATAATCAAAATAATAGCAATAATAATAATAATATTTACTAATACCCACATACCACATGAATGACATGTCGGAGGCATTAATTAGAGTCTCTTCGAAGTTATCAACAAATGAAGTATGGACCGTAACCATGTTCATAGTCCAGGCCAACTGACAGTTGTCTCTCTCCCATAACCTATAGAGAAAGGAGAGAGAGAGGGAGAGGGAGAGAGAGAGAGAGAGGGAGAGAGAGAGAGAGAGGGAGGGAGGGAGGGAGGGAGGGAGGGAGAGAGAGAGAGAGAGAGAGAGAGAGAGAGAGAGAGAGAGAGAGGGCATGTAAAAGAATGAGGTGCATGTACATGTATATTCTATAATAATAAATTTGATGGCAAAAAGGTCAAAAATGGCTCGGAAAAAGCTCCTAATTTTCTTACTTGAGTGGTGCCTTATAAACACTGGTCAGGACTTGGAGCCTAAACCAGTCGAGGCGGAGACCCTGGAAATCATATTCTGTCTTATCATCCACTAATAATAAAATAATAAAATGTTAATTAAACTATATGTAAGTTGAACAGTACATGTACATACTTTCGTGTCCCTGCAGTTTGGAAAGACAGTCCACAAATGAAGTCATTAGGATAGACTCTTCCTCTGGACAGACAGTCATTCTCTGAAAAAAGAAGAGAAAGGAAGAAGAAGAAGAAAAGGCTATTAAAGAGAGAGAGAGAGAGAGAGAGAGAGAGAGGAGGGGGAAGAGATATATGGCCCACCATGACTATTTCTCTCATCTGTGCAGCATCAAATCCTCCAAGAAACTTCAAATGATAATTCTGAATGACTTTACGATGCCTCCTCACCAAAGCTGTCAAAATATTATCAAATAAAAGATTATTTGAATATAATATACACGCACATGCATCGTGCATATGTACATGTACATGTATTCTTGAGTGTGTGTGTGTTACCTTTAAGTCTAAGAGTCTCAAACAATAGTTCTGGTAGGAACGGGTCATTATAATCATCAGGGTTCGGCTTGTATTTTCCTTTAGGAGTTTGGACATTCGAGTGTTTCATCAGCCAAAACACTTCATCTCTAGCTAACGTCAGTGCCAATAGGACTGTAGACACCTGAAGGAAGGGGAAAATACAATAAGACATGAAAAGAGAGAGAGTGTGCTTCATACATGTACATGAACAATCAGGGCTATCAAAGCATGCTAAGAAAGCTACATGGCATGCTTCATGAGCTGACAAGCACTATAGTGTGTATACAGTATGGCATTTAGAACAACTTTAGAAAATTCATAAAAAATTTAAACTTGATCGGAATCAGTTCAAAGTTGATACGCAACATAAGTACATGTATATGTATCAGAAAAAATTATAAAAATGGAGGATTTTCTCCTTGTGATTCTTGTCAAAATATCCTCTACTATTATAATAATAACTACAGGGTCTTTGGTCTAATTTTCGAGCAACTCTACAATCCACTGACAAGATGCTGAGCACTACATGTATGTCAAAATCCTATGGGAAACCCTGGGTACAGTGTACATGTACATGTACAGCGTAGCAATACAATAGTATTGTAGATATACATAATATAACATACCTTAGGGCCTAGCAGTCCGGGTTGATCTGATAGAAAGTTATACAGTTCATTGAGTGAGGTACGGAGATAGCGTCTACGCTCACGATGCATTGGGCCACTACATTAACAAGTGCATAAAATCACATGACTATCACATGATAATTCCACTTACGCATGCTGCAAAACCAAATTGAGTTGTTCCGAGACTTCATTTGCTCTTTTCTTATCTCTGCATGAGAGAGAGAGGGGCAGGTTGGATGCAAAATTAAATTTCACTTGGACTTACTCTTTAGTCTTTAGTTCTTGGAGGAACTTCTCAAAGACGTTGTGAATGAGGAGGTGATCGTCTCTGAACAGGTTCAGTACGTAGCTGTCCTGGAGTGCTAGTTTCCACAGGTCTGTGGCACCGTCAGCTGTCAACTGGTGAGGACAGACCAGGAAACCAACTGAAATAAATAACACATTATAAAAAATGTCCATTAAATTTTTTAGTCTGTTCCAAAGTTTTTGAAGAGTTAAATCTTTATTTTTTTAATTAAACTTTATCAATGGATCCATTGCATGTACTGTACATGTATATATGCCTCAATTAGCAGCAATTGGTAAATAAACCTTACAACTAACACCTTCCTTATAAGGATAGCTGCTATTGCTACGCAATTGAAACACCTACACAATGCATGCACACAGCTAATAAGTTATGAGGGGGGCCCTCAGGGGGAATGTTTATCTATATGTAGGAACACTTCACATTTAAAATACAGTATCATAACAGTATTACCATTATTGTTTATAAAGTACATGTGCACTGATATATATTAAGGTTTATTAGTACATGTATGTACATGTACTAAACTTACATAATATCCATTTAGTCATGGATTCTAATGACAGTGTTTCACATGGGAGCTCTCCACTTAGATTAGGAGCAAGAAATGTGTTAGGATTGCCAGAGAGATTGAGTACTTGCTGCTGTCTCATCTGGTCGGCTGGTAAGTTACGTCTTACAAAAACCTTATATAAGGAAAGGACAGCCTGTGCAACAATCTACAGAGAAAAGAAAAAAGGAGAATAAAATACAAAATTTTACTCTTTCACTCTCTCTCTCCCACTCCTTCTCCCTCTCCCTCCCCCTCTCTCTCAGTACCAATACAGTACATGTACATCTGATACAATAGATTCAATTGGTCTATGAACAAAAATGAACACTAAAAAACAAAGTGATACCATACATTTATTATACAGACTATGCAAGAGAAATTACGTCTGTGTGTGTGTGTAACTAAATAAAGAGTTATTACATTACCTTTGATATAGGTTGGAATTCCTCAGACATTCTTCTTATTGGGTGCTCAAATTCAACTATCATTTGAGCCAGTCTTGGAAAGCTGGCATCACTGAGAGAGAGAGAGAGAGAGAGAGAGAGAAAGAAAATAGAGAAAGAAAAGAGAGAGAGAAAGAAAAGAAAGAGAGAAAGAAAAGAGAGAGAGAAAGAAAGAAAAGAGAGAGAGAAAGAAAGAAAAGAGAGAGAGAAAGAAAAGAGAGAGAGAGAGTTGTAATAATAAACAAAAAAAAGAGTCATACGGTGCTCCACGTGTTGTCTCGTGTGCAATGTTATAAAGTCCACATATGATCTTCCTGTCTTCAATCTGCCCTAACATTATCATCATTGAGGCATATATGGTCACCAGATCAAGGAGGCCCTTTGTCAGATCAAAATTGAGGGCCTAGGACAAAATTTAAAAGCATTACCAGTGAAATTTTTTTAAAAACAAGTGGACTCACAATGTCGAAATTGAATTGTACGGTTGCTAGAGATGTTATTACTTCAATGCTAGCATCATGAAACTCCATGACATCAACAAACGTGCTGTAATGATTAGGAAGGAGAGTCATGATGTCCTTCTGGAAACTACTAATGACTGTCAGGTGAGTTTTATCCTAAGAAAAAGTAGAGAGGAGAAGTACACACGTACATGCAGTATATGTACATAAATGAGAATGATAACACATCCAGCAGTGCACATTACACCATTGTGTGCTAAATAAACAGTGAAAATATCTCTGACTATAACTAGCTGCACATGCACACTGTTATACTGTACTGTTAGAACAGAGGCAAATTTGGTATTCTCAACATAAGATTATGACATGAAACACACAAGGAAGGAGGCAATTAATTATTGAACTGATCGATTATACACACACAGCATAGCAAAGCATGACTACAAGCAAGAGTAGTAGATTCTTTTATACAAGTAAATGTGGATATGCTAAATCTGAATATGCTAAATCTGAATATGCTAAATGTGGATATGCATAAATTACATAACGTCTACATGAACATTATTAAAACGTGTCACAACCAGTTTCTCCCCCTCCTCCTCCTCCTCCTTGTTACCTTTGAGTCGAAATTAGGAAACTTCTTTGCAATGTGTTTAAGAGCAGACTCTAGTGCCTTCTCGCTTAGGAATGATGGTCTCTGAGAGGAGTCTGAGCATATCTGGAGAAAGACAAACAGTGCAGTTAATGTAACTAAATATTTATGATAGCCAGTTAAAATAACAATAACAAGACAAAACATATGGAACTAACGAATATATTGAGTTATATAAAATTTTTTATAAAATTAAGCAAACCATTATTTATGATGGTGTGCTCGTGGTACTGAATTTAATGTTACATTGTACTTTAGTCACTTTTAAAATTTCATCTACTACATGCTTCTCCTGTGCTAGAACTTGGCTTTTCTTCGTTCTCACCTTCTTTATAGAGTAAATACGGGTTAAAAGGCCATGTCCCCTCTCTGTCAGTATGGTCAGCTTCTCGGCGAATCTCCGCTCGGATATCGACTGACTGGAATGTAGAGACTTACTCATGGCGTCGGGGAGTGTCTGTAGTAACTGGAAGTACAAGAAAAAGAAGAGAAGAGAGACCAAGAACACTCAAGGCCCTCGTAGCTGCTTCCCTTGCCTTGATGACGTCACTAAGCCTTACCCTTCAGTGACCGCCCATTTAACAGTGATTAACTATCTACACCCACGCATTTTTTACAGTGATGATTCTATGATTCTATTAAAAGATAGTGCATCTAACTACACATGTACTCAACAATTCAAGAAACAAGTTTTATTTATAATTCACAGCTTATTCGATGTATTATCTTTTGTGAAACACCTATAACAAAGAAATATAATATAATAAAATGTAACTTGAATTATGTCTTGGCAAGCATTAACAATAATAATACTTGAGCCATGCATTACATATTATAGTCTTATCATAAATGCAAAAATCAAACCTTCAAGTAGAAAAGAACGCCTTGCAGGAATTGTTCCATTTGGTAGACGATTATTCCCAACACATTCATAGTATCCATCATCAGTTGGTGCGATATTACTGATGGTGATAACACTCTCAACTGTACTGCTATCAACAGGAGTGGTTGTCACATCAATATTGCTTTGAGTGATTATTCCTCCATTCCTGAACCAAGTAACAACTGGCAGAGGTTTACCAGTAGCTCTACATGTCATCATGACTGTTTCGCCATAAAACTGAACAATTTTGTCCTTAGATAGCTCTTCCATCATAATTGGCTCTGAAAATATTTTTTTTTAATCATTTTTGAAAGATGAAAACTATTTACCTAAAGTAGCATCTCCTGGACTTGCATGCACATGAATGGAATTTGATTCATCTATTCCTTCAACAGCAACATATATTGTGTCAGCACTCTGATTACTGAGATTAACAGGCATTAGGTAACCATTTGCAAAGTCATTAGCCATCATAGTAAAATCATAAAAACCTTTATTTGGCGCTGAGATAACTGATGATGCATATAATACAGCAGATCCATTGGTAACATTTAGAAATATTGTTATTCCAAGGTTGCTAACAAATGGAAAATTTAAGTATTTTGTTTCAGCACGATCAACTTGATCAGAAATGATATAATTCGGTTGTACCGTTGGTGAGGCTAAAATATAATAAATAGAAATGACATGAGGCAATAAATGCAATTGTCTCTTACCTATGCATGCTTGTTTGCTGATGCTAATTGTAACTGATTCAAGAAGTTTCTCATCAAATGTGGCAAGGTAGACATAAGATGGCTTTGTTGCTATAGCTTGCAGCTCAGCTTCAAGTGCATTAGCTATCCCAACAGAATATGCAATGATACCAGCAGCATGTATTGCAGCAGCTGAAGTCAATGTAGATGAACGACTGGTAGATGCACCATCAGTTAAAACCACTACAATGCGAGGTACTCCTTGACTAGCTGGGCGGGCACCCTTGGATTCAGTAAACAGGACTGTTCTTGCAGTATCAAGTGCAGTATGAGTATATGTAGCACCTGCTGTGTAGGTAAGATTCGAGATAGCCTGCAGTACTTGGGACTTTGTCTTGTAAGTGCTCAGATAGAATTGGATAATAGTATTTGTTGCATATGTTATTACACCCACGCGTATGTGATCAGGATCGACTTCAAAGCTATTTGTAATGTTAAAAGTAAATGCTTTGACTACCTGGAAGTTATTATAGCCCACACTACCAGATGAATCCAAGATAAAAACCAAATCCAAATGACTGACGTGGCAATCTAAAACAAAACCATGTAATTACGAACATTAACAAATACATGGGCTTACTTTCCAGATACATTTTTTCTAATTCGGTGACTCCGTCTACAAAATCAGATGCAGTCCCATTAGAGCTAGTGTAGTGCCTGGACCAGTATACTCCCTGGTCACTCACTTTAGAGCCAAGCGGTATATTTATGGTAGAGTTGGCTAAGATAAGCATATAGAGCCTTGAAGCTATTGCAGAGTACAGTGGCTTCCTCAGGTCATCCCATGTAGTATTCAACCAGTTTATACCAAGAATTCCGGATATTTTTGGCATTGCTTCTTTGAGCTGTATGATATTATGAGCATTCATCTTAGTCTCGTTATACTTGGTTTCATTCAATCCCCATATTCCTCCATTAAAGCTGGAATACGTGCTTGGATCATTACCATCTTGCGTCTCAGCATATGCAATCCGACGAAGCATCTGATCATCATATTCAAAGATACCAGAATGGTCAAGGACAGCAATGCAGTCTTGGACAACGATAGTTCCATTAGTTTCCAGTTCTCTAGTAGTATCTACTGAACACTCCACAAAAGGTGGTAAGAAAAGGCAGACAAGGACCAATAAATTTCTACCAAAAGCCATAGTGGCTAAGATAAGCTGGCGTCGATAATGACACAAGTGTGAAAAGTTGGAATATTTCATTACAAGGAGAAGGTGTTAATAAGTGCAAGCTATTGCCAGCTCGTGTGTGTCTAGTATTATTAATACTGAAATTTTGAAAAACAGTTCTTTTATGGTATTAATTAACAAGGTACAAATAGGTGCCAAAACTAATGCGGTATACATAAATGACCGAATGTTGCTAAAATACAGTTATAAATGAATGACTATCATGAAAAGTTTACTAATCAACAAACTGTCTCTTGTAATTTTTATGTTTCCTGCAGACACAGGCGATACCAAAGATAGAAACAGCAAGGAGCAATAATGCAAAGAACACTATTATGATTGAATAGTAATATAAGTTGTAATCAGGAGATATTATGACGACAGCAGTAACAACTAATAGTAAATAATA